ATACCATGCTCTGCCAGGTCTACCATTTGTGAAACAAGTAGATTTTTTAAGCTCCTTCACGAGCAGTTGTACGCTATCTAAAAGCTGCTCTTTTGTAACAGGAAATCCACATTTTCCAACATCAAACATCCACTGAACAAGCAATGTTTCCTCTTCTTTCGATAGAACGCATTCAGGTCCCATCTTTCGTTCGACAGGAGACCGTCCATGATATTTGTCCCATAATGTGGTTCGAGGTACATTATAAAGTTTACTGGCAGCGCTTAAGGTCATCCCATTTTCGACATCTTTCAAAGCTGCCAGCATTTGATCTTCTGGATAATTCAGTTTTTTAGACATTCCTATAAATTAAATAATATTATAGTAAAATTAATTATTTCTTATATCTGTTAACAATTATTTTAAATAAATTATAACAAGACTGAATCGCAGAAATATTTTTAAAAAATAATGTGTGATATTAATATTTACCATTATTATTTTAAAATATTTAAAGCATTATATTAATATATTTTTTGTGTAAGCATATAAAAATGAAAATAACACAAGAAAATTCAATTTGGGATATAAATAAATCAATGCCGAATACTACAGATGGATGTTTATTTTGATCAAAGCTGTAGTTATCAAAACCAAATATTTACTTTTAATTTAACATTTAGAAATATTATTTTGACTGACGAACACTGAACAGAGACAATATTAATATATATTTAATAGTTTTCCATACTGTTTTTTATATAATTTTTAATGTAAATATAAAAAAATCGACTAATTTCAGAAACCTGTCAATGTGTCAGTGTTCGACAGTCACGCCGGTTACTTCCACACCAACAGAATCGATGTATGTGTCACCGACAATCTTAATTTTTAAAAAATTCAGTATATTTTTCAAAAAAACTTTTTTACGTAAATGATGCACAAGTATTTATTTACAAGATAAAAATTTACTTACTGCATAATATCCCTTCACTCAGAAACACAGAGATCTTTTTCGCCACGTGCACTCCTAACCTAAAACTTAAGAAGTTGACTCGTTTCACCACGGCAACACGACGGGCCAAAATAACATTTTTTTATTTGAAATTGACTCACCTTTTTCACTAAAAAAAGTTTTGCCAGTTATAACCAGATATATAACAATGACAACTACGCCAATTTCATGGATAATAACTATCACAGATTCTTATTACAAGTAAATCACTGCGACATCTGCCGATAACCGGAGCATTGACGATAACCCCCACATTTACCTTATATAATGCGAAAATTGTCATCGAGTCAGTCAGTTTGACTAATCACTTCTATTAATATGTTTGTGATTTTTAAATTTAAATATTTTATATTTTTGTTGTATTTTGTTTATTTATTTGATTTTATTTATTGATGTGATATTTATTTATTGTTTTTAATTAGGTAAAAAAATTTTATTTTTTAATTTTTTGTTTAATGTTATAATTTTGTTTTTTAATTTGTGTTATATTTATTTGAAAATTTTTTTTTATTAAAGTGACCTGATGATGGTGGCAAACCAGACCACCGAAACGTTGTCTAAAATTTTTAAAAAGTGAAAGATTGTTTTTTCTTTTACCTTTATGTCTTCCAAAAAATCGAAAAACTAATTTATTAAATAATTGTGGAAGAATAAATTAAATATTAATGTTCTGGAACATTATTTGGTGGCCTTAAATATCATAAAAACGTTTTTAGAATGAACATTATTTTTTGCCCACTGGGTTTTTGCTATTCTATTATATAGAACTTTTAATACACGTACAAACACAACTATTGGCCTGATCCATTAATTAAAATTTAAAACGAAAATAGAAATTTTGCTTGTTTTTCGAAAATACTGGTTTTGTGACTTTTCAAAAAACGTGGGGAGTTGTGCTCCACCGTTGAAAATTGAAGAAAATGACATGTTTTTTTAGAATATTCTTTATTTAAATGATAAAATGTGAAAAAGTAAGACAATTTACATAAAATAAAGCAATAGATAAGATAATAAAAGATTAATTTTAGATAACTTAGATAAAATTAAATTATTTTAAAAATAATTGAATTAAACTAGGTAATTAATTTCATTTGCAGTGAATACAGATGTATAAAAGTCTCATTTTACTAAAGAACAATATTAAAATTGCATAAATCATTCTAATTATTCATAAATAATCCGAAATAAAAATAGAGATTGCGTATTAGAATTGAAAACGGTTAAATATGTTAAATATGTATAAAAGCACCTTTATGCTTCAAGGTATTTCAGTATTTATTCTTAATAAATTATTTACATTAGTCAAATAAACATTTAATGACCTATTTTTTTTTAATTGAATATATAAAATTAAGCAACAATTTCACTTTGATGTAAAAAAACAATAAAAAACTCCACAATGTGCCAAAAGAAAATAAGGTTAAGTTTCGTAAAATTACTTTAAACCGTGTATACTGAAAATATTCTTTTACTAAAAATATTTCACGTAATGAAAACACGACTTCTAAATACGACTTGTTTATTTTTAAAAACAATTCTTCGAGTTTTAATGTTTTACTTGATAAATTAAGCACTGAACACAACACGATGTCATTTTTATCTTGACTTTAGTAGTTAATTTTACTATATTTTTTTTAAATGGTTAAATTTACCAGGTATCAGTAGTTAAATAAATAAATTTACTTTTAATCATTTACATTGGTAAATTTAACTTCATGAAATTGTTTCACACTATTTAAAATTTGGTTCCCACACAGCACAGTATATTGCTGTAAGCTTACCTCAAGCTTACATGTAATTTTTGTAAGCTAACCCTGTAAGCTTCAGGTAAGGTCGAGGTAATATAAAAATGTCCGCCATACAGTAAGCTTACACAGTAAGGCCATAGTGAACTTACATGGCAAAGTCACTGTAAGGTTACAGTAAGCTTACACGGCAAGTTTTCAAAGGTATCAATAAATAATTTTTTTAAAATATTTATGCGCTACTGCGCATAAATGGCACATAAATTCTATGGCACTTACGAATGCGCAGTAAATTTTTTTAAGCAAACCCTACCGGGTTTTTTTATATAAATGACAAAATAAATATAATTGTGCAAAACAATTTATTGTTTACTGTAAGTTGATAAATTAATACTTTGTTATTTGTTAGCAATTAATATAAGCTTACCGTGTAAGCTTACTGTAACCTTACAGTGATCTTACCGTGTAAGCTTACAGTGCCCCTACCAAGTAAGCTTACCATGACTTTACCATGTAAGCTTACCATGACTTTACCATGTAAGTTTACCATGGCATTACTGTGTAAGCTTACTGTATGGCGGACATTTTTATATTACCTCGACCTTACCTGAAGCTTACAGGGTTAGCTTACAAAAATTACATGTAAGCTTGAGGTTAGCTTACAGCAATATATTGTGCTGTGTGGGTTAATATAACTCAAAAAAATTTAACTAACGAATCTGTCCCACTGATACTTATTGTCAAAAAAACTATAAAAGTTTACCATAGTTATAGTAACTTATATTGTAGCAATATTAGATTTTATTGTAACTATGGTATACTTTTTTTAGTTTTTTTGACAATAGTTATCAGTGGGACAGATATATATGGGGCATTCTATGGGAAGTTTTCATTGAAAATTTTTTTTTGTCCGAAACATTTTTTTTCGAAATCTATATGAAAAATAAAGAAATACGTATTTTTTTATTTTTTTATTTGATGAAAATGAAGGAAGTTATGATTTTTTGAAATTTAACGTCAACGAAGAAAGTGTGTTTTTGGAACATTTTTTAATCTATTGTACTAAGAAATTATAAATTATGCTATATATGAAATTTGTTCATTTTTTCTCAAATTTTTCAAACATGTTCTCAAAAATAACGTACCTATAACAAAAACAACCAAAAAGTTGAAATTAAAATTATAAATTGAGTTTTCTCAAAAGAGACACTTTCGATTTTTAATTTTTTTTTTGCATTACAATCTCTGATGACTGAAGAATTTTTTCCCCTATCTGCGAAAGTGGTACTTTTAGTTTTTAAATTACTATTTACAATTTTTAAGCTTGACGCAACGATTTTTAGTATGTTTTTATGAAAATTAAAAAAAAACAAATGAATGTTAATGGAAAAAGGTTATATTTGTAGAAAAAATGCTTAAATTCGGTGAGCCGTACTAAACAAATTATAAATAGTAATTTAAAAACTAAAAATACCACTTTCGCAGATAGGGAAAAAAATTCTTCAATCATCAGAGATTGTAATGCAAAAAAAATTAAAAATCGAAAGTGTCTCTTTTGAGAAAACTCACTATATAAGTTTAATTTCAACTTTTTTGTTGTTTCTGTTATAGGTACGTTATTTTTGAGAACATGTTTGAAAAATTTGAGAAAAAAATGAACAAATTTCATATATAGCATAATTTATAATTTCTTAGTACAATAGATTAAAAAATGTTCCAAAAACACACTTTCTTCGTTGACGTTAAATTTCAAAAAATCATAACTTCCTTCATTTTCATCAAATAAAAAAATAAAAAAATACGTATTTCTTTATTTTTCATGTATATTTCGAAAAAAAAATGTTTCGGACAAAAAAAATTTTTCAATGAAAATTTCCCATAGAATGCCCCATATATATATCCCCAAATTCTGTATAACTATAGGAATTGTTATAAGGAAAAGTTTCTCAGTATACTAAAAGCAAAATTGAGACAATATTGGGATTGGCTAAGCTGCAAAACGCCATCTGGTGTTTACCTACTTCTGACAACCATTTTCCTTTTTCCTCTTTCTTTAATTAACACGATAGAAAGAGAAATTAAATCTAAAATGTCAAACAAAGTCCAATTTTTCTTCATAAATATCGTTTCGCGAAAATTTTAGTCTCTGTCTAGAGTTGCACAAGTTAATTCCATTCAAAGTCGTGCTTTTTCATAGGTCAATTAATATTTTAATTGATATATTAAAATTAATTTATAATTGAAAATTAATTTATTTACAGGGCACTCAGTTTTGGATGACCTGCTTCGCATTCATTCTAGTAGTTCCTATAACATCTCAGTTGTATTTACCAGTTTACATGAAACTCAGATTGACTTCCAGTTACGAATACTTAAATTTGCGTTTTAATCGTCACTGCAGACTTTTAGCGAGTATTCTTTATATGTTCCAAATGATTTTGTACACTTCCGTGGCTGTTTACGCTCCAGCGTTAGCTTTAAGTCATGGTAAGTTTATACCTTATAATTTTACAGTATAAGAAAAAGTATATTGTTAGATTTTCATTTCTTTCTATGAAATATTTATCTGAATGTTGGTCAATTCCAGAATTATCACATTCATTTCTATTAAATATATTCTATATATATATATACAAAATCCTCATTTTTTTCGAGCGTTTTCTCGACATCACTAATTATTTTAGTTTCTTGTGTATTAATTAATATATATACTGAGATATTGTATTCTTATAGGGTCAATCCATTATATTTCGACTGAAGTCGTTGCTGACTAATTTTGTGGAGAAATATGTGAAATGTAATAAAAACGATAAAATGATTATTATTAAATAATTATAAAAATATAAATGTTTTTATTAATTTTAATGTATTACAGTTTAGAAAGTAATATTATCAACATTTGTCGATAAAATCAATATAGCGGAGCTTTTTAGAAGGTAGGTGACAGCAGTCTTATATAGGTTTCAATGCGAGAAATCAGTATTTTAGACAAAAAAATTAAATTTAGTGTAAACATTTTGGGTGCACTTCCGAAACCCCCCCCCCTTCCGATTTTAATGAAACTTGGTATACTTACGTAATTTGATGCGCTGATCACGAAAATGATAGTGAAAATTACCGCAAATTTCATTTTTATGGTGAAATTATGGCACAGCAAAGAATGTAGAGGCGGGCGAAGCCCGCCTTCCCTAGTATCGTTGCTCTCTTTCAAAACAGACAGACAGTCAAATTCACATTCTTAATGGTACTGGAAGGTACGGAACCCACCCCGACCCCCCTCCTCCAAGATGTCTTCCCCTAAAAGGTCTTATGGAAGTAGCCCTGCACAGCAAAGAATGCAGAGGCGGGCGAAGCCCGCCTTCCCTAGTATCGTTGCTCTCTTTCAAAACAGATATAGGATAGGACATAAAATATTTATTTTTAGAAGCTCTACAACTTTTGTAAGAACGTTTTTGTTTAATTTTGCGTTTTTTACGAGTTAAACGCAAAAAACCATAATTTTATGGTGTTTTTTTATGGTTTTCACCATAAAAATGAAATTTGCGGTAATTTCCACTATCATTTTCGTGATCAGCGCATCAAATTACGTAAGTATACCAAGTTTCATTAAAATCGGAAGGGGGGGGTTTTCGGAAGTTTATCCAAAATTTTTTTGGTTAAAAAACATATTTTCGAATTTTTGATAAAGTGACATAAAAAAAATTATGTGGATATTTTTGGAAATCCTTATGTCTAATAATTAAATTTTAATAAAATTCTTTTCATTTCGTGATCTTGATAACTTCAAAATCATTCTTGCAAAGTATTATAATTTTTAAAAATTAGTCAGCAACGACTTCAGTCGTAATATAATGGTTTGACCCTATATAGATTTCTAAAAAAGTTATTTTCTTAATTATATAAATTTTAAAATGTATACAATTTTCCCTTTGTTTTAACAAACAAATTTGTATTAAACGATGCGATCAAAATGTTATATGAGTTGTTAACAACAATTTTTGCGAACACAGAAAATTAAAAGGAATTAAAATAAGCTGCAACGCTTCTTATTTTAATCCAATTTTGCTTATTTTAATATCAAAATGGATTAAAATAAGCAAAATTGGATTAAAGTAAGAAGCGTTGCAACTTATTTTAATGCCTTTTAATTTTCTGTGAAATTAACAAATTAATATTGGGGATTTAAAATTGCAATGTGATACTATTGTATCAAATATACAGTTGTTGACATTTGGAGTATTAACATTTTAAAGAAAAAGTTTCTGAGTTTTTCGCTCATTATTTGCATTTTTATTAAAAAACTACTTAACATTAAAAACAAGGCGTCATTATAAAAGTCTTTTTTTTAAATTTGTTCACCCAGTTCGGCCATATTTGTTGTAAAATCCTACTCTCTAAATCTTAATTAGTCATTTTTGACTAATTCACAGTCATTTTTGACTAATTCAAATAGGGCGGATTCGTTTACTGTGAATTAGTCAAAAGTTACTAATTCAATCTGTAACTAATCTACCACTAAATGAATTAGTAGTTTCAGTTTCTAGATAGGTATACATAGGTAGATAAAGTAGGTAATGTAGACGTATTTATTTTGAAAATAGACAAAAATTATTGCTTAAAAAATAGGAAACGATTATATTTTGTTTTTATATAGTTTAAATAACGTGAATCAATAAAAAAATCCATTTCATTTTCGAAATTATTCTGCGATAATTACTGGTGGGAGATGTCACTTAGGATTTGAACCTATTACCTTGCCTTCTACCTTGGGAGCTGCGCCTTGACGCGCTCAACCAAAGGAGGTTATGAAAATTCGTTACAAAATGTCTCTTATAAGCAAATTGATATAAACTCGTTGTCAAATCGCTAATAAATAAGGTAAAATCGATTTGTTTTCTATACAAATTTAACTATTATATAAATTTGTAATTAGAGTCTTATAAATGTGCCAATATTGATTTAAATTTGTTAATTAAATTAATTAACATTAACATAACAACAATAGTTTGGAGTGTTTTTTGACCATCTATACAAACATTTGAAGAACTGAGTTTGAACACATTCAATTTGATCAAAATATCAATATCATCATTATTAATATTATATTACTAAATTAATTATATGTCAATTTTGATAAACATAGCCTACAAAACCTAAGTGTTATGTCTGGACATAAAGAAAAATAAATATTTTTTTCATAATTACTTAATAGAAAATAATTACTTGTGCATTTGTTAAATTGATTTTTCTTTGGTTGGAACAGAAAAATGTTGTATAATAAATTAAAAAATTTTCAATTAAGCTATTTTTGCTTATTTTGATGTATGCACATATCATGATTAACAAATTAGAAGAAAATCTCTACAATTCATTTAGTCATTAAAAGTGACTATTTTTTTAGTAGAAAAAGCACTACTAATTAATTCAGTAATGAAAAGTGACTATTTTTTTAGTAGAAAGTGATGAAACAACTAATTCATTAGTAAAATATGGTGTTACTAATTCAATTAGTAACATTTTGACTAATTCACATTTAGAGAGTAGTGCTATCCTGCCCGCGGTGGTAATTTTCTTTTTCAATTAAATTGTGTTAAATGTTATTAAATAAAACATCATATATATATATATATATACTTAAGATAATTCATAAAACAGATTAATTTTTTTTTGTTTCAGTTACAGCTTTAAATACTTATATTGCTGTTACTCTAGTCTATTTAGTGTGCATTTTTTACGCATCACAGGTGGGTTTAATTTAAATTAATAAACTAATTTTAGTTTTATTCATTTAAAAACTTTCTTAGATTTTCCACTTGAGTCAAAAGTTTTGTTACATACTTCAAAATAATGTTTTACTGAAAAGCTTTAGCTGTTTAGCTGCTAATAAGAATTTATAAATAACACAGCCACAAAAAAAAGTGCCCGGGTTGGGAGATCAAAGTACCCTATTCCCATGTATTTTGGACCGCTGAACACGAATCTGAAGTCCGTTTATCTCCTGCACGTATACGTTTTTTCCTAACTTCAAAAAACTTTTAACATTTTTGGTGGTATACGATTTTTTTTAAATTGATGAATTTATATGGAACTGGGTACTTAGGGGTTTCTGGGGTCGCTAATTAAGAATCTGAAGTCAGTTTTAAAAATTTCAAAATGGCGGATCCAATGTGGAGGACGAATTTTTAAAAAATTGTTGGATTTTTATGAAATTTGAAACCGTTATGTTGAATTATAAAAATCGGACTTCAAATTCTCAATCAGCGACCACAAAATACCCTCGGTATTAAGTTTCATAATAATCCAACAATTTTTTAAAACTTCGTCCTCTATGTTGGATCCGCCATTTTGAATTTTGAAAAACTGACTTCAGTTTCTTAATCAGCGACCCAAAAAACCACCGAATAACAATTTTCAAGCTGATCTGAGTGATTTTTATTTTTTTGTCCAACATATTGGACCCGCCATTTTGAATTTTGAAAAGCTAACTTCAGATTCGTAATGAATTTTCAATTCGCTTGAAACTTGTTACTCGGGGATTTTTGGGATTATGGTTATGGTTTGATTCCAAAATAGATGATAATACACGTAATAATTTAAAATGCCTTCATGGATTACCACCACGTATTTATGGTTTGATTAAAATCCATAAAAAAGATTTCCCACTCAGACCAGTGACTTCATTTATTGGCTCTCCATTATACAACCTTTCAACATTTTTAGCCTCAATTTTATCTAACATAACCTCAAAATCAAAACATATTTTAAAAAATAGCACAACATTAGTAAATCAATTAAAACATTTTAAAATACCAAACACACACACAATTGTATCATTAGATGTTGTTTCTATGTTCTCTAATATAAATCCTGAGACCGTTTTTAAAATAATCGAGAAAAGATGGAGTTTAATAAGAGATTTCACTAAATTAACATTTCCACAATTTGATTCAGCTATTAGGTTATGTATGAACAATGCTTACCTTCAATTTGACTATAAAATATATAAACAAAAATTTGGAACCCCAATGGGCTCACCAATTTCTTCTGCAGTTGCTGACCTTGTAATGATAGATATTAAAGAAAAAATTATAAATAATAAATTGTACGACATATTATTTTATTTCCGATATGTTGATGATACTATTGTTTTCGTGAAAAAAAGCCATGTTAACCAATTATTAGATGATTTCAATGAAAAAGGAGAATCATTACAATTTACTTTAGAAAAATCTGTAAATGAAAAAATACCTTTCTTAGATATCCAACTGATTTTTGAAAATGATTTTTTGGAAACAGATTGGTTTCAAAAGCCTTTTGCCTCTGGTAGAATCTTGAATTTTTATTCTAATCATATTTTAATTCAAAAGAAGAGTATTATATTCTCTCTAGTTGACAAAGCCATTACACTTTCTGAACCACAATTTCATAATAAAAATATAAATTTAGTTTTTGAAATTTTAAAGGATAATAATTATCCATTTGATTTCATCAAAGAAAATGTTGACAATAGACTAAAATTTATTCATCTTAAAAATAATAATGATTCTAATACCAATATTAATACAACAAAAAACAACCTCAATTTTAGTAAAACATTAGTAGTACCATATATTCCTGAAATATCTAAATTAATTCACACTATTTGTAAAAAATTTGATATTACTGTTATATTCACCACAAAAAACAAACTTTGCAATATTATTTATCCTTCCCTCAAAGATAAGATCCCAAATTTTGAGAAAACTGATGTAATATATAAAATACATTGTAAAAATTGCAACAAAGTCTATATAGGACAATCAAAACAACATTTAAAAAATAGAATCTACCAACATAAAATTGCAGAAAAAATAATAAGGAAAACACAGCTCTTTGTAAACATACCACTGAACTTAACCATAAAGCGAATTTTAACTCTAAAGACATTTTTATATTAGACACAGAAAAAAACTATAGAAAAAGAAATATCACTGAAATGTTTCACATTGTAAAAAATAGTAATTCCATGAACTTTAGATCAGACACTGAAAACCTTTCTATTTTATATCATGATATAATCAATTCAAATATAAATTTTAACCTAAAAAATAATAACATAATTGTTTTTACAGATTTTTATTCTAAAAACTTCGTTCTTATTCTAAATATAACTTATTCAAAATTATATGCGGTACGTACTAAAATTATAGATGAGACTTTGTGTTTGATTATAATGACATAAAAAATTGTTTTTGTAATTCTAGTCCTGAAGATCCATGTTCATGGTGAAATGCATAGACAAAAAATTTTGAAAATAAATAATTTAACAAAATTTTTGACATATTGAAAATAACGTAATTCTCTTAATAAAGACCTAAGGCCACAAATTTCAAAACATGAAATAAACACTTATGTATATAATTGGTCTTCAAAAATAATTGAATTGAATTTAAATATATAACTTAAATGAATACATGGTGCATAAAAATCTACTTCTTTTAATACTTCAAAAGCATCTCTATTATTATTGTCTTTATCATGAGATAAAAAACTTTATAAATTCATTACAATGTGTATTCACTATGAGCAGAAGAAAATTTCAGGTTAAGTTCACAATTTACAAACAGAAGAATGCGCACGTATTTTGATTGGTTGTATTCATCAAACATTCCAATTCTATCAAAGCATGAACCAATCAATTTAGAGTCATAAAATTTATGTAAATAACCAGTAATTTACAATAATAGATAACTAAAAACGAAAAAACAAAATAAATATGTATGACACTAGTATTTATTATCCGTGATAACGCCAAAAAATCGCAAAAGCTATTTAAAATCTCCATATAGAGCCAATCGCCAAAAGTGAAAAAGTGTCCGCCACCAAGAGTTTAAAATCGCCAAGTCTGGGAACCCTGTCCGGAGACATATCCCTATGCAACAAATGATAATATTTTCTCGAAACCCGCCTCTCTAAAAATATATTACGTAATTTATGGACGGCTCATACCTTATAATTTATCTTGAGTAATTCATTAAACTACATTCGATACAAAAAAAAGTCAGTTGACTTTAAAGATTTACAACTAAAGGAAAAATAACATATTTCAGAGTTCGTTGCATAAATATTTCATTGAAATATACATTCTGAAAATTTTCAACTTCAATGATGCGCACTGATCGATCTCATTTTCTGTCTGTACATGCACAGCATGTACAGACTTCTGTGCTTTAGCTGTTTTTTTTATTCTTTTCTGGAATTGCTTCCTTCTTTTTCTTTTTTAGCTATCCTTTGTCGTAAAGTTAACGTTATTGAAACGTTTAATGACTTAAACATCAGATTATAATTATTACTTCTTTAACGAATACAAATAAAATTTTTTATAAATCAAATTAATGATGTGCTTTTAACTAATAATTGAAAAAATTATTAAATTTACTTAGGGTGGTATGAAGGCTGTTATAATGACAGATACATTTCAAGCTGCAGTTCTATTGGGTTCCTTACTTTTAATCGCTGGCTATGGTGTATCCTGGGCTGGTGGATTTTCTTCTATGTGGAAAGATAACTTGCAATCCGGAAGGATCGAGCTTTTTAATATGGACCTATCACCTACTACCAGACACAGTTTCTGGAGTGTTGTAGTAGGTGGAACTTTTTATTGGGCTACAATGTTTTGCAGTAATCAAGCCTCCATTCAAAAGTATCTCAGTGTCGAAAGTATCAATCAAGTAAGAAAGTAAGTTTAGTGTAAAGATTTTTTATTACTTACCCTGTAAAAAAAGTATTGGGAGGTACCGATTTACGCATTGGAGTATCAACCTGCCAATGTGGTATTCGCGAAATACCGCATTGGGTGTCACAGTGAATGCGTAAATCCAAGAGTTCCAATGCGGCGAAAAGTTTAAACTTAAAAAAACGAAACAATGTTACAGAAATAATAAATAAGTTTAAGCTGTTAAAAATAAAAGTTAAAACAGTGAATCAATACTAATGGTGAGCGGAATTATTAAGTTTTAATGAAATAAGATGAGGTGAAATGTCAAATACGAGTCCAATGCGGCATATGGTGGTTTCAATACGGCGCAGAGTCGGTACATAGTTTTTTGTAGGTTTTATTACTAATTTAATTGAATAGTTAATATTATAAATAAAACATATTTTTATCACGTATAAACTTTTCAAATATGAGAATTAATTTTTTTATATTGAAATTGAAAAGAAATCAATAACAAATAAATGAAGAGTATAGTAGTGCGAGATCATATATGCCCTGAGTTTCGATCCGATTAATGAAAAAGCAGCCAATGACATAGTCATTACTGAAATCGAAACCCATTTCACAACTCTTTTTGCTTCCTCGTGGAGGAAGCTATGTAGTCCTTTCGTTTATAAAATTTTTAAAAATGGTGAAAACAAATTTTCCTCTATATAGAAACATGTTATATGAGATCCTGATTAATTGTCCGGATGTATGTATGTATGTGTGTGTGTGTGTATGTGTGTGTGGATCGTTTTTGTGAACACGATATCTTTAACAGGTTTTAATGGATTTGGGTAAAATTTTGGTAGGCTTATTTAACACATTAATCTCTCAAAAATGACGAGAGGATTTTTAAAAATACCCAAAAAAAAAAATTTTATCGTCTTTTTTCCAAAAATTTTTTTTTAATTGAAAAAATTTTTAAATCGAAAAGTTTAAGGTAATATATAATATAATCGTCTTCTTTATGTCAAGATGAATCGATTGATATATATATATATATATATAAAGTATAGATTTGATTGAAATTTAAAGAATTAATGAAAGTTAAAAAATCAAAAATTCTCATTTTAGCTAAAAAATGATGTGTTTATTTAAATTCATGTTTATATATGAAATAATTTTATTCCCTGCATTAAAACGAATCGATTCGTATATATAAAGTTTATGTTACACTCAAAATTAATTAAAATTTTCTTTATTTTTCAAAAAATTTAATTAATTTAAAACATTTTTAACTCGAAATTTTTTAAATCAATCAATTGAATTGGACAAATTCATTGCTTCCTTCACGAGGAAGCGAATTTTTTGCTTCAAACAATGAGGAAGCATAATGTTTATGAAATAATCATAAAGAACCCCCTCCTTGTTTTTTAAATTTCACGATTTTATGTTGAGAAAAATTTCACCAAAAAAAAGTTAGCGTAATTTTTTTTTAATAATTTAAGTCTTTTGAGTGTAATGGTGTGGTCTATTTTGCGATTTTTTAAGTGTTTTAAAAGTTAATAAATAGTTAGAATTAAATCCTTCTATATTGTGTTATTGTTGGTAGAAAAAAAGTTTTAAAAGTTATTGTGTTTTTCTCTTAATATATACACTTAGGGCGAGAACACCACCACGATATTATTATTAGCTTTATTCAATTTATAATTATTATTTATAACAGATTTTATTTTATACAACAAATTTGTGACCAGAAAACCCAAACGCAATTTCGATTCAATCAAATTGACAATCGACAATCTCAGAAAACTGCAAAAAATTTTAATTGTTAATAATGAAAGATTTTATTTTCTAAACTAAATTTAGTGTTATAAAATAGTGACAATTTGTATTTATTTGATTTTTTTCTAATGATTTTTAATTAATTTTTTCATTTTAACTTCAAAAAAATATAAGTGGTAATCTAGCCCCACTCTACTTTATATAAAATATGTACCATCAATTTAACATAAATTTCATTAAATTATTGTTATAATTTTTATTTATGAATTAAGTAAATTTATATAGGGTTACACTGAGAAAACAATCTATTTAAGTTTAAAAGAATCCTTTAATCATAAGCGGATTTTCCTTTCAATATTTATTTGAAAGGATTTCCTTTTAGGACAAAAGGAAAGTCTTTTAAAGTGTATCTTTTAATTATTAAAAGAATTTAATTTACTATTTAAAGGAAATATTTTTAAAGAAATAAAAATAAATAGTTTATTAATTTTTTATTTATTAGTATTGTTAATAATTAAAGAATTACTGTCATTTATTAATTTTAAATAAAATGAAATTAAATTATTTATATTTATTATTATTAATAAGTTAATAGTTTTTTACATAAAACTCGGAAAATTTTCATAATTTCTATTATTTTATATTAATTTTTTTATACCTTTTTTTCATAGTTTTGAGAGATCAATTATAAAATTAAATTTGAAAATTTTCAATTTAAAGTAAATAAAATTTATAAAGATAAAAAATGATAAAATAGTAAAAATGTCCTTTTTGATTGGTTTAATTTTTACTGGTGATTATTTTAAAATTCTACATTCATTATTTTTGATTTATAAATTTCATAGAGTTTTTTCATTATTCTGAACAATCAGTCATATAAATCGTATGAATTTTAAAACTTTATAATATTTTGAAATAATCCAATTTATAATTGGTTAAAAATAATATTTAAAAAATTTTAATAATACAGAATAATTTCAGATTTTATTTATTTATTATTATTTTAAACATTTTACATTTTGTTGATTAAAATTAAACATTTGATTAATAACGTAAACAATTAAATTATTATCTGTAAACAATCAACAATAATACATGATGTAAAATTTCCCATCCGACGCAGAAATATGCTTTTCCAACAAATTCAAATTTGATGATGGGAAAACTTGTAGATATTGCCAATTTTGTGTGGCTTCAACTTGATATGCATGTATTAGTTCATTAAAACCAATTGTTGTCCAGGACATTAAAATAAAGTAGAATTTTTCATCATTTTTGAAACTAAAAATATTTACAATTTCAAGAAAATTGGGCTCAAAATCGTCTTGACTTCTATCAACAAGAAATTGCCCTAATTTACATTGTTTATTATTTATTTGAATCCACTTTGTTTCCAAAACAATTTCTGAGCCTTCAGTAGACGAAAAAAGGTGAATAAAAAAGTGATAATTATTGACTGACTGAATTTCCTTTTCCTGACTACGACCTGTACTTATCTTTTTGCATTCTGAATTTATTTCCCTAAAATACTTAGCCAATGTCTCTTGGTGTTTTTCAGCAAGGGAAAATGGAATATTAATACAATTTTTATTATTTTTTGCATACGAAAGAAGTTGTTGATGTTTAGCCTCAAAAGCCATACACCATAAGAGGATTAGAGGTCCTAATAAAAGAATCAGATCCGGATAGTGTAAAATATAATGGTGTTTTGGTTTTAAGAGCTCATTTGGAAACAATTCTTTTCTCAATGAAAAATACTCTGATAAAAGACATTTTAATAAGTTCACAACTTTGATTTGCAGACTTTTAGACATCAAAATGTCTATTATTTGACGCAATTTCAAGAATAGAACCCACACTGGTTCATCTTTTTTAATTAAATCACTAAAAAGAAAAGTGAAATACTTTACAAAAGTTACCATTTGAGACGCGTAGAAAATAATACATTTTTGTTTCAAATGATTTGGAGTAATTATTGGTGGTTTATCTTTTTGATCCATCCCATAATTGAAATTTAGAATTCGCGAGTTGATATCATTTAATAAAGTTTTAGTAATTTCCATTAGCTCTATTATAATTAAAGCCATATCGTAACGAAGAAATCCTAAGTAAGCATCATGCATTAAATCAGCTGAAAAATTTTCTCCTGCATTGAAACTCAGTAACATATTAAATATACACCGTTCGCTTATTCCAGTTTTGGACATATCTCCCTTCTTGAGATCTTCTTCATAATTTAAAGGATTTCGTAATAATTCTGGATTTATTTCTTTACCTTCACGAATAGAATCACTATCGGCTTTGCAAATTATACAAGGAAAGTTTGCTGTGAATCGTTCAGTAAACCCTAGCAGACTGTGTACTCCTAAATTATCTCCTGCTAATATAACCATAGCAAAATATATTATAATAATTTCTCCGTCAATTTCAATAGGAATTCCGTTTTTTCAAGACTTTCTAATTCATCCAAAAGGACTTTAAACATAATTCTATTACCATATTCCACTCTATCCGCAGAATTGGAAATTTGTGCTACGAAAATATTATCTAACTGTGTTGCGATTTCAGGAGGAAATGCAGGAATATTATAATAAACAACGCCTATTTTATTTTTATGAGGTCCCAATGCATTACCAACTGTGAAGTCATCGAAATATATCACAAGTGGCACTACATATTTATCAGCAAATCGTTTTAAAATATTCTTCCATAAATTACCTTGACAAATATGTCTGAGATTTCTAGGATCATCTTGTTTCAATTCATTTATGAAAGTATCGAGTACTTTAAAGTTATTTCCTGTTTCTAAGAACTTTTTCAATACAGGTGTCAATGGAATATATTGTCCTACGGGTGCTGTACCTGATAAGGCATTTTTTTCATTTAACTGAATGCTTTGAGGTGAAGTGTAAGTTTGTGATTCTACGAGACGTTTTTTTCGCAAGTAACGAGAATTTAAATTTGAAAAACATCCAGAAAATGTAGAAAATAACCCTTTAATTTCTTTACATTTAGAATCGTCACAATCAGCCACTGAAAGCACAGCATTTTCCATTGATTCGAGCAAACCACTATTTAGAAACAAATCACATTCTTCAACGACTTTCTGAACAATAGAATGTGGAAGAGACCGCGAACCACTAAAACTTTGCACAAAACTATTTGCTGCTACTTTAATGTTTGAGACAAAATTTTCTTTTGCTGCTTGTATTTTTTCTGTACTATTTTCAGGCAGTGAAACTGACGATTCA